AAATTTAATCTGCAAACAATTCAAAATTATTTAATCAAGAGTTTCCCAATATTTTATTATTTATTGCTCAAGAGACTCTAAGGTTCAGTTGTTTATTTCCATGCCTTCTTTGACAAGTCAAAAGAATCGAGACATAACCAGAATAGTCCAACCAACAGGGCATTTTTCAAGTTTTTGAGCAGTGCAATCGATTTTTAATATGGTCCAATCGATTTCACCCCTTCGATTTGCACCAGATTTCAAGTTCTTTCAGCAGTGCAATCGATTTGCACAAGGCAGTTTTGGCCAAAATCAGCAAATTTAAATTCTGCATCATTTTGGCACCAAAATTCACTTGTTTCATCATGAGAATATTCTAGATCACCTCGTTTTAATTCCTCTACCTCATCATAATTAATTTCCATCATACACCCTCATTAATCACCACTCGTTCTTGATTTTGCCTCCAAATTCAATTTCCAAGCCTAGATCAAATTCCAAATAAAATTCTAAACCACCAAAATTTCCAAGCCTAAATTCTATAAATATAAGTCTCATTTCATTAATTCTTCAAGCTTTTGATAGCCGAATTCACCTTGTCAAAATTTCTTCTCACTCTCTCAATTTTCTTCAACCACCAAATTCACTAAAGATTTTTCTTCCATTAAACGTTAGTAAGATTTTCATTGAAGCTTACTAACATTTGATCTAAACCTCCATCAAAACACTTTTTCAAAATCACATTCTATATATCAAGACTTTGAAGTGTGGTTCTTGAAGTTGATTTGAAGCATTTTCAGATTTTGAAGTGGAAAATCCTTCCACCATTGTTGTGCTTGATTCATCTTCCATAATATGATCTCTTGTTGATTCTTGTTGCTTGATCTTTGGATCATACAAATTGTTTTTCATTGGTGTTATTTATTGTTGTTTTACTTTAATTTCTGTACTCAATTGTATCCTTCATCATGAGGTGTTTGGAGAAATGATTGACCAAGGATTGTGCATTTTTCAAACTGTTTTTTGCTGTCATAGCAGGTGCAAATCGATTTGAACCCCTATGCAATCGATTTGCATTGTCATTTTTAGCCTGGATGTGATGTCTAGCCTTGTGAAATCGATTTGTATAGTGCAGGATGTGTTTTTCGGCTCTGTTTTAGGACTGTTTTAGTTCACTTTCTTCCTTATTCTATTTCCTTTTATTTTGCCTTAAATTTTGATGTTTGTTGATCAAATTTCTCTTTAAATTCCATGTATTTTGGATGTTAATGAGGTTGGATAAATCTTCATTAGTTCAAATCTATCTTTAAATGGATCATTGGATTCATTTTAGGTGCTTTGAATTAGTGATAGGTTTAGTGCCTTAAACCACCAAGAAGAGTGATGAAACTTAAATATGGAATGATCTAAGTATTTTAATTCAATTTGGCTTCCCTTCTCCCCTCTTATCTTTTTTCTTTTGATCAACGAAAATCTTCAATATCATTGGAACTTGTTTCAAGTTTTTGATGAAGTTGAGATCGTTACCTATTTTATTTTTGTGTGGTATTGCTTTTGGTGGATGATCTACACATCGCCTCTCTAGCATACATTAGCACAAACATTATTATTGACTAGCCTCAGATAGTCGTGCCTTCGATTACGATTGCTTAACATAACGCTAAGTGTCCCTAAATCGAAACTAAGTCAATTTTGTAAGCGAGATGTTATTCTCCTAATCTTTGTAGCGTAGTTTGAAATAATTGGATCTTTTGTTATCTGTGGGAGTTAGTTGGCAAACTCGTTGATTTTATACGAGTTGGAGCCCTCCCCATGGTAATGTATGAGACCATGTTTTTATTCTTATGGACGACTAGTCAAATATTCTCCATAATTTGACAATTTGTGTTTCATGAAGATTGATAATACTATTATGTATATTATTCTAACTATATTATTGTACTAATTTTATTTGTATTTCCTTCTCGCTCCATATCTCTTTACTTTTATGCTTCATTATTATCATATCATATCATATTATTGTTTATACTCACGCTCTTTTTTTTCCTTTGTCCATTTGGACCATATTTTATTCAAAAAAACATTAATAAAGAATTAAACCTCTAAAAAATTAGTTCTCTTAAATATTGTGGTTATGCTTGTGGAAGGATCTAGACCTTGAACTTCTTGAACTATTCTTGCACCCTTGGACTTGGATTATTCTTGCAACCTTGGACCTCTTGGATAATTTTTGCATCCTTGGACTTCTTGGATTATTCTTGCACCCTTGAACTTAGAACTAGGACTCTTTCCATATGCTTGGAATATTATGGATTTGAGATCTTGGTCTTTATTTGGCTTTGCTTTTTGGCTTATGCTCAAGGTGAAAAGAATTCTTATTTGGCTTTCTATGGAGTTTTCTATCTTTTGGTTAGATATTTCTTATCTCTATCTCTTATTTTGCTTTCTAGGATAGTCACTTCTTCTCCACCCCTTCTTCAATTTTCAAAATCTTCTCCCTTTTTCAAAACCTTCTTGTTTTCAAAGTTAAACCTTTTTCATAAAAAAAAACCTTGACTTTCGTCAAGTTATTTTTCAAACATTATTTTCTTTAATAAATATCAATTAAGATATTTAAAATTGAAGACATAAAAGACAAAAACTTATTGATTTGTGCAAAAGACATAAAAAATACAAAAACTCATTCAAACTTTTTGTGCCTTTGTGCACTTTTTCTTTTAAAATTTTTCATAAAGTTTAGACATGAGTCATTTTCATAGTTGAGATGTAATTCTCCTATTCCCCATATTATTTAAGATATTGACATTTTTCACTTAAATATTGAGTGATATACTTATTGATTTTAATCCAAACAAAATTCTCCATCTTTTAGGTGATCCAAACGTTGTCTTATACTTGTGGACGACTAGTCGTGGTTTTCTCCTTAAAATGACTACTTGTCTTTTCATTTAAAATGAACTTAACAAACCATTTTTTTGTTATTTGTACCATGAACTACAGAGTTTTGATCCTATATTGCACTTTGTGGGTACGTAGGCATGAGGCAATAAGTTTCTCCAAACACAAAAATATTAAAAAAATACTTCTCTTTTCATCTCTCCAAACTCATTTTCAAACAAACCTTTTCAAAGCAAAAAGTGTAGATATTTCAAAGGCTTCCCATATAGTACTATAGACGTTTTGTGGCTAACACGTTCCCTTAGCGTAACCAAACCCCTTACCCATTCTTTGTTTGTTCTTGTTTTAGAACTTGTTTAAGCTTTGTTTGCTCTTTTCATTTCCTTTTGAATAAAATAAAAGTGCGGCGACGACTCTTATATTTTTGAGTTAAGTTAATCAATAGCTTACACTCAAAAAATTTCCCGCGACATATTCTCTTTTTCTTCTTTTGATCTTGTTCTTCTATTCTCTTTTTTCTAATTTGGTATTAGGATCAACATATCAGTTTGGATTTTGGATTCAATAACTATGTAGAAACAAATTAGGATTTTAGATTTAAATTTGAATGATGGTCGCAGTAGTTATGCTAGATCGACATATTTTTTATAATCTGGCGGTAGTTTTCGTGTCTGGAGGTGGTGGCGGAAGCAGTGGTGGCCGCAGTGGATCTACGCACGATTAAGGAGTCTGAATGCGGCTGATGATGGAGGTCGCGTGTGGTGGTGGGTATGTGTGGTTCGTTGGTTTCTCTCTTCTCCCCATCTCTTTTGTTTAGTTTCAATTTTTAGTTATGTGTTTGATGTTGATGTTCTTAATGGTTGTGTAAGTTGTTGTTGATTTGAATAATGGATGAGGGAGAAGATTTTGTTTTGGTGAAGGAAGTTTGCTAAGTGTATGTTCTTTTTTATTGTGAGTTGTTGAAGATAAACTGTAGTTGATGATTTATTGTTATTGATGATATTGTGTTGATAATAAAAAAGCAAGAGTTTTGATAATTATTGAATGATAACCAAGAAGAAAGAGGTGGAGTTTTGATGATGAATGAATGATAAAGAGGAAGAAGAATCAATGAAAAAGAAATATGAAGAACAAAAGTTACTGCATTTTTTTCTTTGTTGATTTTTTTTTTCTGTTTTTATTTTCTATCCCCACTAACCTCCTTTTTTTTCTTCAATTGGTTGCTCTCCCCACACTTTAACTTCACGGCAATTAAAATTCAAAACAAAATTTAAAAAAGAAAAAAAAAACATAACTTTTAAAATGGGGGATCAAAATTATAAAAAAAAAAAATAGGGGGACTAAAAAGCGTGGTTTATAATTTTTTTAATGTATTTAAAAATTAAATGTTATTATAATTTTTCTAGTAATTGTTTTAAACAAATATTATTATAAAGTTTAAATTGCTAATGATTTTTTAAGAAAAAGTCTAAACAAATATTTTAAGATTTACACTTAATTTTTCTAGACAAAATAATAATAGTTGTTATACTATTTGAGATATAATTTAAGAAAAAAACTTATTTGGAATTTCTTTGTAATAATTTTTGTAAACATAATCTTTTCGGATTAAAAAAGTACCGTTTATATCCGAAATCTTTAATATTAACACAAACAATATATATTTTTTTTGGTATTTAGTCATAATAGTTTTAAATAGTATGAGTTGACATGTTTCTAAAAATTCATCTTAAAAGCAAAAATATATAACTGTAGCATAGCAGAAATTTGATATGCAATTCCACTATTTGATATGAAATTTGTACATTACATTAGAGATAGCAGAGTTTCAATCTTATCTGCAGGAGTATTTTCTTATTACTTAGAATTTTCCATGTGAAAAAGAACTTAACAAAACTATGTTATTATATCCAATAGAATATTGCATGTTGTTGAACATTTTTATTATGAGCAGAGTCAAATAACATTGAAAGATCCAATAATATTGATACTATTTTATGAATACTCTTCTCTGTGACCAAAACATAACATATATCACACAAATGATAAATGAATGACGCCTATTTTTTCTATTCTTTATTCGAAAATGATGACACCAACTTATTGCATTACGAGCTTATAGCTTAGTTTATATGTTTCTGAATCATCCTTTGTAGCTCCTCCTTTCTTACTCCCACAACTTTATCAATAACATTTCCTTTCTTAACAAGTAAGAAAGTTGGCAATGAATACACCTGAAATTTTTGAGACACTCCCTGTTGCCATTTATATTGGGAAAAAACACAAATCAGTAAGTGCTCGAAATCATGTTGTCGCAAATTACATTGTCAGGCTGATCATAAATTGTTTAAAAGTTAAAGTGAAAAGTAATTTGTAACATACCATTAACTCGTCGACATCAAGCTTAATAAACTCAACATCGGTGTATTTTGCAGCAAAATCTTTCATAGTTGGATTCATAAGTTTGCAAGGTCCACACCATTTGGCTGTGAAATCAATAACCATCTATACCAAAGAAAATAATATATTAAGAAACTAAAATTGACCTATTGATAATGATGCTATAGTCTATAGACTATAGCTAGTGAAAGATTGTAGCTACATAAACATACCAGTTTATCAGTTTGTTTAATAGCATCAAAATGAGCATTCCATTTAGCAGTGGAATGAAAAGTCTGAACATGGGATGGCTCTGATGATCTATCAACATGCACAAGATTAAATGTGTTTGAACTCATGTTTGGTGTATGAATGAGAAATAAGATGGAAGTGTAAATATGAGGTTTGATAATTTATTGGGAGGATGGTTGGAATATATAGAGAAACTAGAAAGGGTAATTGTGTCATTTTTTTAATAATGAACGTGATTCTTTTTAGTAGTAGGCTGTAAAATGGAATGTTGAAGCTGGTACTTGATTAGGACTAATTTGAGAATGTATCTATCATAAGTGGCTGGTCCCATGATCGACTAGAACATTGATTGAATGGTCATTTTCATTTCACATGTTGATGTGAAGCATCAGAAAAAATTAAGGTTATTGTTAAATACTAGGCAAAGAGCTAAAAAAAAAACATCATCCCTTCTATTTAGTGCAAAATTTTGGGTTAAGATTACCCCAAAATTGTATCCAAATTGCATCATTCGAATTATCTATCTTACTTTGTTGTTTCCTTTTTAATGGTTGATTTAAGATTTTTCATGTTGAAAGATTAAACTTGATTTGGGTTTAACCTTATTATTTGTGTTTTGAATTTTTTGGCTTAACTATTTTTGGCTTAGGTAGTTTTAATTAATGATTTTAGAAAACTCTTGTAATGTTTGGAGTGTATAGATATTTTTTAGGATTGTAATATTTTCTAGAATGCTCTTGAAATTCCTAGAGTTGAGAACTCTCTAGAATTAGTGTGTCTAGAGTTTTCCTTAGAGTACTATAAATAGATATATAATTTTACGCTTTTGTATCATGCAAAAATACAAAGTTCTCTATTTCATAAAGAATTCTCCCACCTATCAAGTTTCTCTTTAAGCATCTAATATTCCCACGCACTTTCTTTAAACACAAAAGGCTTGTTGCGGTGAGAATAGGATATCAAATTATTAATTAATTTGAATCGCAAATCTTTGATTCACAACCGGTCTTTGATTTATCCGAAGGAAAGGTCAAAGGAAGGAAAAATCTAATCTTGCATCGTAAACACAATGCGGGGAGAGATCTAGGGTCCGGGGGTTGGTTAAGCTTAGGGAAGGTATTAACACCCTAAACTTCTATAGTACTCTACAAGAACCTCTTGTTTTAACGTTGTATTTTGCTAAATTATTTGCTTAAGGGTATATGCTAAGGGTTAGAAGGTGAAAAGAAAATACCTAAGGGTTAGTCCTAATTTTACTCGCCAAGACTCACATCTTGTGGCTACGTATTCGAGGTAGGGGATGAAATTAGAGTAATCGTAGTTCCACTCGAAAGGGATGTTAGAAACTTCTTGACTGTGGTCAAGGTTTCAATGGAGATGCAAACATTCTTAAGGAAGCGCTTACGTGGAGTGCGGCGACTCCTACTTCTACGTTGTAATTGAATTGAATTAGAAAGGGTAAAATGGGTATTCCTCGGCGGGAAACCTAATATGGAGTGCGACGACTCCTTATCCTAATGCTAGGGTAAAGGGTAAACTTGTCCACGGCAGGACGCTTATTCAATTAGGGTTTGAACTGTGAAAGATTCAAAGGTAAGGACTATTAACGCGGCGGTCAAACAGCTAGACCTATCCTTCGGAGGGAATTTACGGTACATAATGCAATGGAAAATAATTATCAAGCGACGGTATTGAAACACGGGAAAATGTGTAAGAATAATAACGAAATTGAAAAAGCGACGATGTCCTCGCATAAGTTACAACTATGAAAATGAAATACGAAAATAAGGGATTAGGAACCAAGGCGAATAATGACATAACGTTAGATGCGTCATAACCATCAGACAAACTTAAACAGAACAAGGTTAGGGATCAAATCCGCAATTAGGTGACGGTTCAATTCGAAACTAAAAGTGAAATGGTAGAAAATTAGGTTAGACATGTTTTTAAGAAAAAGTTTTAAAATTAATTGTTTTTAGAAAATGGTAATAATTATTTTAGAACTTTGATTTATAAAAAGAGTTTTAATTTTAAAAGTTAATTTTTAATATTTTGGAATTTTTAAGAAAAAGAGTTGTAATTTACTTTTAGTGTTAGAAATTAGAATTTTAATTAGAAAAGAGAAAAAAAGTTAATTCAATATCTTAATAATTGAAGAATTATTAGATTGATAAAAAAATGTTAATTTTAAATTATAAACTTTAAATTAAGTTTAAAAAATGATTTTCATTTAAGTTTTAGAAAATATTTTTAAAATTAATTTTTAATTTAAGTTTTTAAGATTAAGTTTTAGAAAATGATTTATATTATTCAACATAATTTTAATAAATTAATTAAACTAATAAAATAAATTATAAAATAAAAAAAGAACAATACAAAATAAAAAGGGGAAAGAGTCAAATGGTTGAAGCAGACTTTAGGGTTTGCCAAAACCCATTTCCTCTTCTTCTTCTTCGCGGCGGCGCATACCTTTCTCTTCATCTTCTCCATCCAATTTCTTTCGTTTTCGTCCGCCATGCTTTTCTTCTTCTGAGCTTCTTGATGGTTTCTGCACAAAAAAAAACCTCATTAGCCCAGACTACTCACCCTCTTTTGATGGGTTTGAAGCGGTTTGGAGTTTATGATGGATGACGGTGGCGCGAGGATGATGAACGATGATGATGGTGTTGCCTTCACGTCTGAGTTCGCGGTGGTGATGGTGGTTTGCAGCCGCGAGTGGATCTTGATGGAGGTGTTGCCTTAGCCGCCGTTTTTTGTTCTTGGTGTTCTTCCTTTTCATGAACTTGATGGATTTTTCTTTTTTTGATGTTGATTTTCCTCTAAATCCCCCCCCCCCCCCTTTGATGAACTTTTATGATGAACTTATATTGTTATTTTTCTTAACACTTTTGGGCCTGGGTGTTTGTATTGTTACGATTTTTCTTGGTTGATTTGTTATTGAGACGGAGGAAGTTGTGGATTTGTTATTTTTGTGATTCTATTTTAATTTGTTGTTGTTGGAACAGAGATCCGCGGGTTTGTTGTGTTGGGGAGTTTTTCATGCTGATTTTGTTTTGACTTATTTTGGAACAGAGGAATTGTCGGAATGGTTTGTTTACGATGTAAACTGGATATGGAATTTTTTCCACTTTGGATATCCAGTTTGTTTGTCATGAACTGGTTTGGGTTTGGCTAGATTTGGATATCCATATTGGTTCTGTTGGATATGCTGGATTTTTCTTAGAACCCGTTTGGCTGGACGCAAAACTCTTTTTCTCAAAACATTTCTCTCTCTTTCTCTCTCTCTCTCTCTCTCTCTCTCTCTCTCTCTCTCTCTCTCTCTCTCTCTCTCTCTCTCTCTCTCTCTCTCTCTGAATAATTTGGAACAGATTATCGCCGAATTTGCCGAGGCCGAAAATAGGTATCGGGGGATGCGGCGACATTCATTTGTTGCCCCTCCCGACGTACCTGATGATGATAATATTCTGAGGGTGTCAAAATAATTAACAAAACCATTTTTGATAAAATTTGATTCTAACCAAATGACAATTATTTTCACGTCGTTCTCTGTTTTGCAGGTTCGAAGATCGAAGATTAAAGATTCGGACGTGAAGAGCTCTTAGAAAAATTAGGAATTTTAGGACCATCAGGCTTTAGGAAATTGATTTGTAATTTTAAGCATATTGTAATAAAACTGTATAGAATTTGAATAAATAAATCCAATTTTTAATAAACTGAATTTTTATTCTTCGATTAAATTCATCTGATTAAATTCATCTGAATAAACTTGGACGTTCTAACCTCTGTAACTTCTGAGTTCCACCTAATCCCCTGCCGATTAACTCATATTCGATAATAACATTAGTGAATATGACCTTTAAACAGATAAATAGAGAAATTCCATTTAGTGGCGAAATGAACTTCCCTCCGCCTTTAAAATTCAAATTGTATCTCGAACAACCTAACTCTGTAACCTGAATCAATTCGAATGATAATCGTACTCAAACTGACTGACGTTTATCTTGAATTCAATGCGAACAACAATTCCACTGCTCCTCTAATATTAACTTGTCACTAGCAGAAAAACCAAGAAAGCGTGCAACTGTTAGAATAAATTCCATGAAGTCGATTCTTGCATCTATTCAACCCGAGTTCATTTATACTTCGACGCCCTCAACTTTGTACGGTTTAGGAAGCAAACAACATTTTACAACTCCACTGATGACTACTTCTGGTTCTTGATCAAAAATGTACTGTGTCACGAGAAACCCGACGTCAAAAATTCAACTCATTCTCAAATAACAATCGCACGACTCGGAGATAGGAACACTAATTGTTTGAGGAGTTCCTGATGATGACTTTGCTTCACAAATTTCCAGCAGATTGTAAATTAATGACCCTTTTTCCCTTCATAAATTAAAGTGCACCCAGTGTTATTTCCCTACAAAACCAACAGACTGAACAAAATGGTTAGCGATTAGTTAAAACGAAATGCAAAATGAACCTAATGCTCTAAGGATAAAATTTGGGGTATGACAAGGCTTTATTTCCAACAAAGTGGCATCAGAGCTTAAAGGTCCTCAAAAGATGGTGAATGGAGGTTTCCCTTTCCAAATGCCGATGATCACAAAGAACAACTATGACAATTGGAGTATCAAGATGAAGGCGCTACTAGGAGCTCAAGATGTGTGAGATATCATTGAGAAAGGCTTCAAGGAGAAAGATGAAGCATCGTTAAGCCAAGGTGTAAAGGAGACATTAAAGGAGTCAAGAAAGAGAGAAAAGAAAGCTATCTTCCTCATTTATCAATCAATGGATGAAGATACATTTGAAAAGATCTCCAATGCAACGACGACCAAAGAAGCATAAGACAAGCTTCAAACTTGCAACAAAGGAGTAAAGTAGGTGAAAACGATTCGTCTTCAAACTCTTATAAGTGAGTTTGAACATTTATTTATGGAAGATTCAGAGTTAATTTCTGATTATTTTTCTCGAGTATTGTCCGTAGTCAATCAACTTAAAAGAAATGGTGAAGATATTGATGAGGTGAAAGTTATGGATAAAATACTTCGCACTTTAAATCCAAGTTTTGACTTCATTGTTACCAACATTGAAGAAAACAAGGATT